CACACACACACACACACACACACACACACACACACACACACACGCGTGCGCGCGCGCGTGCGCGCGCAAATCAAGAAAACAGGAACCTCTTCCGTAGTTTGAGACCCCAACATCAAACCTGTAAGAGGCAAAGGGGAATATGTGAAAGAATAACAATGGATTTCATAGGGCTGGGGAATATAGCAGGTCTAGCATGCATGAAGTCTTGGGTTCAAGCCCCAGGACTGCATAAACTGAGTGTGGGTGGGAATACTTGTAATCCTGAAAGGGAAAAATCAGTAGCCATCTTGATAGATGCCCCACCCCCCCCCACCCCCGAAGGTATTTGCTGACCAGCAGTTTTAGAACTGACCAGAAGTTGAACTCATGGGAAGATAAGGTGGAACAATAAATCTATATATCCTTGGCAAAACAGGATATGGGGAGTAATGGACTCAACTGACCAGAAATTGAACTTATGGGAAAATAGGACTGGAACAATAAATCTGGATATATATATCCTGGGTTCAGCAAAAGCAGGACATAGGAAGTAAAAAAAATGTATGTCTCTGTAGATATCCTGCATCCCATTAGCTATCAGTAACCTCATGCTTACAGTTCAGCAGTAACTTCAAAGAACTGCCTCACCCCAGCCCCCTTGTCCAATCCCAAGATATGTAACCCTCTGCACGTAAACCTTTCCTATATAAATCCCTTGAAGTGAGTGCTGGACATGGACCAATCCCGGGCTTGCTGTGTTGGTGTTGCAAACCCCTTTGTGCTTGCATTGGATAAACTGCAGGCAACAGGATGTCTGCAGGAGGATACTGCTCTGTATCCATTCAGGTTGTCATGGCGCATTCCTGAGGTCCTTCCTGGAACTAAGTACAGCAGGTGGTCTGAGATGGTGGCCCTTTTCCTAGGAAGGAACCTGTAAAGTCAAGTCTAGGCCTTCACAGTTTATGGCCCTTGGAGATATCTAGATAATCTCCTGCTGAGCAATCCAGATAATCCTGTTCAGGGGGTTGTGGTTCCCTACCAAAAAGTCTAACCCAATAGTTTCAAATGTGGTTTCTCACCCAAAGTCTAGACCCATAGTTTCAAAAAGTCACCTTGCCCCATATCCCTTCTGCCCAATCCCAAATTGCCAATTCCCAGCTTATGGTTTTCCCTATAAAAATTCTCTACACCTGGCTCTATAAAAATTCTCTACACCTGGGCTCGTGGCCACCGCCACATTTCCTTCCATCTGCCATGCGGTGGCCCAGGTTGAACCTGAATAAAAGGACCCTTACGTGCTTGCATCGGAAACGGCTCCTTGGTGGTCTCTGGGGGTTTTGAAAAACAAGTACAATAGTCTGAGACCCTGTCTCAAAACACACACACACACACACACACACACACACACACACACACACACACACACACA